CTACCTATATAGTTAATAAGTCTCATTCGGGGGGGAAGGGGTGTTGTGTCCCGAGCCTGCAAAGGCAGGCTCGGGACGTTGCAATGGTCCGGGGCAGTTGCAAGCTGCCCGGGACCAGACTGAGTGGCGCCGGCTTTGTGCACATGCGCGAGGCGCAGAAGCACGCCAGAATGTTACCTTTTTGCCCGGGGATTCTATTAAAGGAGTCAGAGGGGCCTGCGAGCCTCAGAGCTGTGACAGAGAGAGAACTACTGAAATAAAGGGCTGTTGGAATTACAGAATGTGCTGTATTCATTCGCCGTTGACTCGAGGACTCAACAGATAGATAATGTAAAATGACAACAATGAAAACTGCTTTAAATCCTGCTGGTGCCATGTGTTAATTTATCTAGGTAGAGATTAATAATAATAATAATAATAATAATAATAATAATAATAATAACAACAACAACAACAACAACAACAACAACAACAACACAATAACAACAACAATAATAATAATAAAGTTGGAAGGGACCTTGGAGGTCATCGAGTTCACCCCCTGCTCAGGCAGCTCTTTCCTTTTTGCTGCCTAGAAATATTTTGTAGAATGTATTCATAGCATTAGGGAGAATTAGTTCTTCTCTCTCCAACAGCAAACTGTTTTTCAAAATAGTCCATCCACACATGGTACTTAAAAGGCAAACTTTCAAACCTTTGTGAGAAGAATACTAGAAAATGTCTTTTAAGTTTATTTAACACTACCGTTTTAGGGGTTAACTTTATTTACACTATCCATTTGCACATATCTCTGCAGATCATCAAAATGTTTGTTTCAATTGGAATGATTTTGTTTTGGATTCAATTTACAAGGCAGTTTTCATGAGTTTTTAACCAAAACAAAAAGAAAATAACTAAAAAAGTAATTTTTCTGATGGATTTTAAATTTAGAGAGATATTGAATAAGATTCAGGAATAAGATGTATGGTAGGTGAGTAATCTATGATCTTGAGAAATCTCTGCAATTCTTAGCATCCATGTTGGGTTGGCACACCACGCTTGTGCTTGGATTTCTGGGAATTGTAATTCAGTAACATGTCAAAGTTAAAGGAATGAACCAACAGTTTGACAAAGAAATTAAGATCTACTGTAGAAGATGGCCTGATAAATAACAAACCAAGAATGAGCAGTCAGCACAAAGAACTTAACCTGAAGGCTTTACTGATCTTGTTTTTGAATTGTGTACAATTGAGCTGTATCATAAAATTGTAATCTACAATTGCAAAACTGCAAGACTGTCCTAACTACTGTTATGTTGTCCTACTTTTTAAAAAGACCACTTAAGTCAGGAGCAGCCAATTAGTTGTTTACTAGTGCAATTTTATAGTATGAAGTAAACATTTTAAAAAATTCAACTGCAATAAACTCCTTCAATACACTATAAGCTTCTGTGCATCCGTAAAACCCTATCCTATATTTTAGGTAAAATACCATATATAAAATCTCACTATTTTATACATACACATGCCTAAAAGTCTTTTTGCTATTTTATGCAAGTGGCAAGCCCACTGAGATTCAACAGACATTCTACTTTAACAGATTTCTCTTCTTTTCATTAGTCTGTTAAATTGAGGATTCATTTAATTCATTCTCAAGTAAGATATGATTGTCTAATAGCACTGTCTCTTTACATCATGAAGTGTAGAGTCTAAGCTGCACCACTTCTTGGGAAAAGAGATAAATTTAGATTAATAATCTGAAATCTATAGAATCCATCTATAGAATCTAACTGGAATCCATACTCCCTGTTAATACATCAGTGTCCTTCAGTATATAATGTTGGTCATACTGAATACAATATTCTGACATTTCATTGTCTTTTTTCACACTACCAGGATCTGTAGCTAATATAGAGGTAAACATAAAAGTTAGGGCTTCTGTTTATAGTTTTATCAACCTCTGACACTTAACAAAATGTGAGGTGTTGAACATAAAGCTGAATTTATTTATTTATTTATTTATGAGACTTATATACCGCTTTAAGTGCAAGCACTCTCTAAGCGGTGTACACCAGTAAGCAATGTATATATATATATTTTACATTGCCCCCAACAATCTGGGTCCTCATTTTACCTATCTCGGAAGGATGGAAGGCTGAGTCAACCTTGAATGATGGAAGAATACCAGGAAGTCATCCAAGGATTAATGAATTCAAAACGAATGAATAGCACATGGACAGAGAAGCTATGTAACTAAATGCCCATCTTCCTTTTTATTTTCTATTCCCATCCCCATTCAAGATATTATCAAAGTTATGTAGCAATTGAGTAAAGAAACAAGAGGAGAAATGGTTGTATTTCTGCTGACAATGTAAAAGAATGAACTAATCCTGATTGTTCTACTTTACTGTATTAACATCTAAATGGCCTTATCTTTTACCCTCCAGGTGGTTCATATTAAGAAAATAGAGGAAGTTATTGTGATTTGCCCAATATATTCAATATAGGCTTTTTAAAATTGCCATCCATACAACTGTACTATAGGAGGTGTTTTTTGCAATCATGTAATTTTTCAATATATTGGCAAGGCAGAGACTTCAATGTAATAAATAATTCAAAACAATGTTTGTGTTTATGTATCACATGAATTGTTTACAAAGTAAAATGTCTCAGCTAGACCAAAGAAATCACATTGTCTTAAAAGTTATATTCACACCTGCTAAACTTTGCTAATTTTAAATTTGGTGCATTTTAGTACATTATACTACACATCACTACAGAACTTAGACTATGTCATAATATAAGTTGCCATACATTGGTTGAAAATAAGTTAAGTCAGATACTTCATACTCTCAGAATGCTTTATCTGGGTTGTATTTTCCTTCATCGCTTCCTATATTTTCTGTTATGTACTACTCCTAGATAGCAAATAAAAAAGTTATAGTAAGACAAAAAGCAACTTCAGCTTTTAGACTAGCTTTTTTTTTAATGAAATTACAAGAACATCAGAAGTTGGCTTTATGTCATATACTAAAAGAAGTCTGAATTGTTGATTGCCTGAGATATGTCCTGATACCACATAAGGCCAATGTTTATTTATTCACTGTTAACTGAAATAAAAAAAACAGAATTACTGGGGTTCACACATCAAGGAAAGCCATAATGTAGGGTTGTTTTACATGTTGTGTGAATCCAGCCACTTTGATTTCTGAAACATGACTTAAGTTAGCATTAGACATGATATTAGGCATTATTTAATTAACACAGTTACTGCTATGTTTAAATCCAGAAAGAATCTAAGTCTTCCTCGTCCATGAAGGCATAAGGATGTCTTTGGGCCAATCACTCTGTCAACCAGAATTACCAGAAAATTGTTGTTGGGATAAAATAGTAATTGCTATGTAGACCACCTTGATTGTATTAAAAGTCACAATATAAAATATATAGTGTAGCACAGTAGTTCTCAACCTTTTTAATGCCGCGACCCCTAACTGGTCGTAAGTCGAGGACTACTCAACTGGTGCAGCACTGTTTGCAGAATGGGACTTTTGGCGGGCTTAGCAGGGCAGAGACAGCCTGGACAATTCCTACTGGCTTTCAAAAGCCAATAAAATAAAAGGGAGTAGCACAGCTAAGGAAAAGGGGGAAAAAATGGCCGACTGTGTTGTTTGGCGACCCCCGTGAAATGGTCGTTGGACCCCAAATGGGGTCCCAACCCACAGGTTGAGAACCACTGGTGTAGCATAAGTCTTCATTAAGGTTTTCAGTACTTGTGAAAAGTAGTTTCAGTTCATGAAAACATGGATCTTCATCCAAATATATTTATTAAATATTGCAGAATTTTAAGCACGTGCTATCCTATTTCTCCAAGCGTTCAATAGTCAGCAAAATAAAAAAATGTATTGTGGATCAATCTTCACTGGTATATGAATCCCCAACAAAACTTAGCATCTGCTACATTGCATTCACACATTGTATATATTTATTGTGTGAGCTCAGCTATACTGGTTTATAAACTTCTTCCACTCAATTGTGTCCAATTCTCAGAGATTATCTGGACAAGTCTCCGCAGTTTTCTTGGCAAGGTTTTTCAACTGGTTTGCTATTGCCTATTAGGGCTGAGAGAGGGACTGGAACAAGGTCACGATAGCCAGCTATGCACCTTAGATGGGACTAGAACTAAAGTCTTCTCATTGCTGGTTTGATGCCTTAACTACAACTGGCTCTGTTTGTAAACTACAGTGTATATGTGAGCCCAGCTACTGTGGATTCAAAATAGTCATTTAAGTTTAATATGTGAACTCCCAACTTGTTTTAGCTAATGGCATTCGTAATTTAAAAATTCAGCTACCATTTAAAAAAAATAGCTCCAAAAGCTGGTTAGTCTCTGCTTATAGTTCTCTCTCTCATATACTAGTGTCACTTGAGAATCTATTTGCAGTCATCTAGGAAACAGTACAGTAACCTAAAGCTTTCAGCCATTTACTCGAAAAGGGCACTTTGGTTTCCAACATGGAGGTTAAAAAGAATTCGTTTAGACAGCCGCATAGATGGACTGAAATGATTGGCCCGACCCTCCAGGTAGCTTCTCAGTTTGAGGCAGTTACTGGCTGTTTCCCGCCAATCCCAAACCCCACTCCTTTTTGGCCCGGATGAATGTCACGTTGCCATGGTTTCAAATCTCTTAAATCTTCTTTCGTTTGATCCGCCTCTTTTCTAAGAGGTGGACCTTGAACTTTTGTCCTGGAATAAAAATCTAAACAAATCTAGCCGAATTCCGGTGGATAGATATATCTTTCTCTTTTACTTGAAGTTTCCTTTAAAAAAAAAAGAATTTTGACTATTGATTGGTTTGAATGTCTATCTGTAATGAAACACCCTTTCTGAAGATACTATTCTTCGACTGGGCGGGAGAACAGAACAGTAAAAGACAGAAAAAGACTCTAGTAGCCTAAGCAGTTTGCTCCTCTTCCCCCACGCCCCCCTCTAATTACCCGTGGTTCAGTCGGCGACGTGGGAGGGGCATAAGGAGGAGGGACCCGAAGCGAGCAAGCAGGGACAGAATCAGGTCTTCCTCTGTGACGGTGAGCTGCGCGCGCTGCTTTCGTTGTCTAGCGACCTCGCGTGCTGTATCGTCGAGGCCCCAGCGGTTTCAAGACTCGCGAGGGCCAGACCTGCACGCGCCTACGTTTTCGCGGCTTTTCGGCTTGGTTGCCGGTGGCGGCGATAGTAAGCAGCAGCAGCTCCGGGACTGCGATGTCGGCCTCTGGGACTGCAACGGCCTCTGCTCCGGCGGAAGCTGGCGGAGGCGGCGTCGCCGGGGACAAGCAACGCTCCTCCTCCTCCGCTCCTCTCAACGTGGAAGGTATCGACTTGCTAGAGAAATGCGGCGTGTGCCGAGAGCGGCTCCGCTCCGAGCGCGATCCGCGGCTCCTTCCTTGCCTCCACACCGTCTGCAAGGAGTGCATCAAAGTCGAACCTGTCTCGGCCGGCAACAACAAGGATGGGCAAGGTAAGAGACCTGGAAGTGGAGATCTCGAGCAGGGAGAGCCCGGGAACTGTTTCTGGGGTAGATGATGGAGAGGATGCTGGCCCTCTTATGCAAAGGACAAGAAAAAAGGTTTGCAATGGGCGGAGAATGCAAACGTGCTTTTTGCTGAGAGCTTTTTTTATTCTTCTGTCCCCGTTGTTTGTTTGCCGTACCAGAGAGTTGTCTCCGGATGGACTGATCCGCTTCTTGCCTGCGGTTGGTCCCGCACACAAGGGGAGGCTTGCATGATGTTTTGTGTTTATGCGAGGGAGGTGGGGTGGGAGGCCTGCGCGATTGTGTTGAGGACGTCCGTAGATTGGTGTGAAAAAATGGAGGAAAGGAAAAGGGGCGGTCAATGGAGGCGGGAGATGGTGGTGAGGGAAACACACGAGGCGGCGGTGGGGGAGGAATGAATGGGTTCAGTCCTTGGATCGTTCTTCCAGCTGTGTGTTTTGGGTTCCTTTCTTAATGAGAGAACTTGTTGCAAGAGGAAGTTTGTATTAGCTTGCTTTTGATAAGAGGCTTGGGGAGGGGGACGATGTATGGCGGCAGAGGTGCAATCGGAGGGGCGTAGCCATGCGCATTCCGACGAGTCGAGTGCACAGCCCTGGAGCGCGTATCGCGAGAAGTGGAGCCTGGGAGGGATGGGCGAGGGGGACGCCACAGCCCCCACCCCCTTTTTTTTAAGTAGTAAGGCTGCTTTTATCAACAGGCTGAAAATCTCTCGAAGTGTCCGCCTCTCTTCATTTTTGAAAGGAAGTAGCTTCCTTAATCTCGTGTGTTTGCTTATATTCTCACGACGTGCAGACTGAAAAATCGCAAACCCGTGTTTTAGCTAATTCATAGTATTTGGGGGGGGGGGGCAGCCCCTTCAAATTTATATTGCTTGCGTAGTCGCAGCTAAATTACCCATACATATTTTAAGCGAACATGGACTTTCTCTGCATTTAGGACATACAGTTAGGAATCATTTGTTTTTATGTGGAATTATACCTTATTGTTAAAGAAAACCAGTATAAGGAAAATGTGCCACTTTTAATTATAAAGTTTGATTGAAATAGTTTATAAAAGGGGTGATGCAATTTAAATCCTAATGACAATTTATGGCAAGGAAGACTACCTTTACAAATGAACTAACTACAAAATGTTAATTATAATTTCATAGGAAATATGCATTCATGTTATTTTTAAGAGTAAATGTATATTTTATATTGGATGTAGGTATTTTTTTCTAAAAAGGAGTACATTTGGATATTCTGTATGCTGTCTAACCAGAAATATTGGAATTTTAAAGAATGAATAAAAATATTTTCTTTCAGTTATTTTCTGATTTTCATATCTTGTATTTTTGAATGAAAAAGTCATATGCCCCCCTCCCCTCAAATTTTTTTTAGGTGACAAAAGATTTGGGTTGTTTCATACTACAGTGTTCAATTGCTATACAGCATAGTGGCACAAGATTTGTTGTCCTATTATCAGTCCTGTCTTCTTTTCTCCCTCTCTTCTGAAAAGTTGCTTAATTGCATGTGGTTTTTATTGTATCATTCCTTCTATGCAAGATAATTTGTTTTGGTTTTCTTCCTAGTTTAACTACTATCCCTTTTCAGCATATATCACCATCTATCATTCAGAACATAGGGGCAGTAATAGTCTTTGTGCCTGATTCAGAACTCTGCAGACTTCCCTGATCTGGTTTGTAGATTCATCCTCCCAGCTCTCATTTGAGCATCTCCCAAGTTAAAATGATGCATAATAAAGAAAAAAAATGAGTGGTTACAGGAGCAGATTAACTCCCAGAAAGAAGGGAGACAGATCCTGCCATATCTTATTCTCATATCTAGTTCTTGTAGAACTGAGAATTAAAGCAACTTTCTGAGCAAAACTACTTTTTGGAGAGGTGATTGAATCTCGGATAAATAACAGGAACTCTCATGTTTTGCATATTGCAGTCAAGCAAAACAATGCTATTGCATCTAAAGGTAAAGATATACTTCAGAATACTGTTTAAAGTGGAATAATATCAACTTGTCTCCTCTTCCAAAAATAAAATAAATCTGTTCTCTTTTAGAAGCCTGGAGAGAAGTTGACATCAAAAGTAAGGAGTGAGAAAGTAAGGGATTCTAAAAATGATAGGAAGGGCAAATTGCTGTGGAAGGGAAGTCTTAATAGTCAGTGATCAGGAATTTGAACATACCTGTGTTTTCCAACACTCCCAAATGTATCTCTGTTCATAGTAGGGTCAGGTCATCTCACCTTTTTAAAAAGATAATGGATAACAATCATGTAACCTTTATAGATTCTATATACTAAAAGAATTTTGGTGGAAAATACTGGCCTAAATACTATGTATTTTGGATACATCATGGGGAGTAGCATCATTAAGCCCTAACAACATCAGTCTCAGACACTATTTGTAGTTACATTTCTGAGTTACGTTAATTCAATAAAAAAGCAATTTTTGAAAATACACCTCATTTTACAATAATGTAACAGCAAATTCCTGAATGGAGATTTTCTTCAAACATAGAGGATTGCATTGTAACAAGAGTCAAAGAACTACCTTTTAGGGATTTATTGGTATCTGGAAGGGTGTTCAAATTTTTATGATCTTAAGATTTGTTTATTGGTTTGTTAATTGTATAGATCAGGGGTAGGCAACCCAAAACACTCAAAGAGCCACTTGGACCCGTTTCCCACCGAAAATAAAACACTGGGAGCCACAAACCCCCCCCCCCAGCGACCTCCAAGCTCCTCTGTCACTGTCCCTCTCTGCCCCCTTAGTGCTGGATGAATCTGACCTGGAGAAGCTGGCAAGTCTTCTCCATTGGAAGCAAGGAGGAAGTGAGGGAGGGCTGAGGTAAACGGGCCTTTTCTATCTGAACAAAACCAGCAATTGTAAATACTTTTCAAAAATGTAAAAAGAAAAAAAAGAAAAATTACAAAAGAGCAAACACCATGAAGATGTATACTCCCAGACACATAGACATACACACACACACGCACACATTCAAAATCTGAAATGTTTTGAAGACCAGAGAGTCCAAGCAGGAGGGAAGCTAATTGTGTCAGATATGCACTGAGAAATCTATTTGCAGATTGACAAAAAAGTAACAAGAACCTATTTATTGTATATAATGTTTTATTATAAATCATGAATTGTATTTTATTGCATCTGTACATCTGCTGTGGTTTTGTGAGGTGCAAATTTCAGCATGGGTTTCATTGAGGTTTTCAGTTGCTTTTCTATTGTTTGGGGGAGTTTTAAAAAAATTGTTTTGGGTTTGTTTGGGGTTTTTTTTTGACAGGACACACCCAGGCCGGGCGGCAATGTCAGCTGGAGCGGTGGGGGCATTGCTTCGCGGGCCGCCGAGCCGGCCATATGTTTCCCTGGGCCAGGCAGCAGTGTTGGCCACGCATCTCACCGGTCCGGTCCATGGTGCCCCGGGTGCCTTCTACTTCTTCCTCCCCCTCATACTTGGCCTTCCCGGGACCTCCACCCATTTTCCCATGAAGCGATGCCCCCACCGTCCCAACCAACGTTGCGGCCTGGTCCGGGGAAACACATGGCCGGCTTGGCGGCCTGCAAAACGATGCCCCCACTGCCCCAGTCAATGTTGCCGCCCGGCCTGGGGAAACACATAGTCAGCTTGGCGGCCTACGAAGTGATGCCTCCGCCTCCTGAGCTGAGACTGCCACCCGGCCCAGGGAAACACGTGGCTGGCTCAGCGGCCCGGGAAGTGATGTTCCCACCAGCCACCTCCTGAGCTGAGACTGCCACCCGGCCCAGGGAAACACGTGGCTGGCTCAGCGGCCCGGGAAGCGATGTCCCCGCCAGCCGCTGCCCCAGCCGACACTGCCGTCTGGCCCAGGGAAACACATGGCCAGCTCGGCAGCCCACGAAGCGATGCTCCCACCCCCCAACTGACACTGCTGCCCAGCCCGGGGAAACACGTGGCCAACTTGGGGATGGCCCAGGAAGCAATGCCCCACCGGGACTGCCACCTGGTACAGGTAAGCCGGGAGGCGCGCCACCTGCCCCACGACTGCTTTGCAGCGGCGCTCTGTGGACTCAGAGCCCCCCTCCCTCCCCCCGTCACTGACTGTCCATATCCAGCTCTGCTGCTTCTTGGCCAACGATCGCACTGGCTGGGCATCGCAGGAGGCTGCTCTTCCTTGGGGCTGTGGCTTGCGGGAGGGTTGGCCCGCTCAGCGGAGGCTTCAGTGGGCCGCTCCCAGCGGGGATCCCAGAGCTTCCCTGTGCGGCTCCCCAGCCACATGAGCCTTGGACGGGGCCAGCCTGGGAAAGGGACTTCCTGGCCGCCCTTCTCCCAGGGGGCGGGGCACCTGGGCACAGGGCCAATCAGGAGCCCTGCGAGGAGGCAAGTCCGCATGAGAGAGAGAGAGAAAGAGAGGGGAAGTGCAAGTGCCTCTCTCTGTCTCTGCAAATGGCGGAGGAGGCTTCGGAGACGCAGGAGATGGCTCAAAGAGCCGCGGGTTGCCGACCCGTGGTATAGATTATAATGAGGTTAAAAATGAGTCTTTAGTGGAATCTGAGTGAAACACAAAATTACTTTCTCTTTCATCTAGGTCAGAGACACATTTGTACTGAAAGGAGTGATATACTAAACAGTCCCCTAAGAGTTACTGAATTTTCCGGCAAACATATGATTATTAAGATGGTGGAGGTTATTGCAATTGAGTAAGGACTTTGTGGGGGAGGTTAAAAGTATAGAGTGATTCCCACAATCAATATCTTTGTGTAACTTTAATATTTTGGCTAGGACTAGAATTCAGGGGGGAAAGCCCTGGTTTTGTAGTTGCAACAGGCTGATAAGATTAGACACATTTGAGCCTAAATAAGTCCCTGTTTATTCTTTTGAATTCTCTGTCTCTCTCTGTGTGTGTATGTGTGTGTGTGTGTGTGTGAGAGAGAGAGAGGGAATGCAGCAGCTGAAAAATGCAATCCTGCCATACCTTCACTA